ATAATATATTTCGAATTGAATAGAATAGGTATAAATAATAAAATAACTGGAAATATTTGGTTAAAAGGGTTTATATTCAGTGTAAAATCAAACTGCGCTGTGAAGCATCAGTTTTGTATACAATTGTCTTTTAGACTCTTTTTTATAAGTTTGTGTGGATATTGTACTTTCATGATACAATCTTATTTTTACGTATGTAAAAATAATAGCATTTAATAATAAAAGTGAATGATCAACTTGTACTGATAATAAATAATCCCCAGGGTGTATTGCAAATTCTATTATAATTTAAAAAACAAATAAAATAAAATAAATTATTTACATTTTATATTTTTTTTTATTTATGTTTATTTACCTTTTTATTTTATATTTTTATTTTTTATTTTTATGAAAAACATTTTTTATTATTATTATTATTATTTTGTACAATTATTATTTAAAATTGATAATAAATTAAGAAAAACAATGAATTAATTCTTTTGTACAAAAGTCTCCAGCACTGCGAGCTTGGCACTTCTGCCAAGCTCGCAGTGCTGGAGACTAAGTTATGTATGTTATGTATGGAGAAAAAGTTATGTATGGTATACTTTTAAATTTACTACTTTAATTTTATTTATTTTATTACGTTACTTTTAAATAATTGATTAGGATAATGTAAAGCAATGACGATTAGGTTGAAATATTATTTAGCCTTAGTTTAATATTAGCCTTAATGCAAATATCTTAGAAAAAATTACTCGCTAACTGCGTTTATGTCTGCTCTCTGCAAAACCCTACCAATAGCATACGTCTGTGATATCAGGAAGTAGTTATAATCGAAATAAATAAACAAACTTCATCGGTATATACCCAAGTTCCGAAGGCATAACAAAGCAAATCGATCACGTACGCAAAGCGGCACATAATAGGCATATTCAAGGTAAATAATCATACAATTTGATTGTCCACATCACTGGGGATCGTTAATGTACCTGGCGACGCGTGCGCACGTTGCGCGTTGTAACTTACGCAGTACCTAGTATCGTGCTAAGGGACACCGATGCTTGAATATTAAAACACGTAATTATGAACTACAAAATAATCAACCTTTGTATATGTACATATAGATGGCCATTGTGAAATATCTAAAGCGCCTATTGGTTTGGTTATCATACTATAGATACCCTTGACAATACCACTGATCTCATCCACGCTTTCTCTTCTCTAATGGGATTTTTTTAAAGATTACTCCCGCACTATGAATATATCCTGTCTGCGGGGACTTTCATTTCATTCTATAGCGAGCAATGACATATTATAATAATAGCTAGGCTCTTATTGAACGTCAGAATAATATTTTAGAAAAAACTTAATTGGAAAAAAATCTTTAAAAAATGCTTACTAAATAGATGAAATGACAATTTTCTTTAATGGGTTAAAATGTGAACTTAAAGGTTTGCTCAATTGGCAGCTGTCAGCTTGTTATATGACGTGATAAGTGTTTTTAATTAATTGTAAAAATAAATATTATTTAATATTTATTTATTATAAGTTTTTAAGTTATACACATGTGCTTTAAGTTTTTGCAACATCACATTTAATAATTTTATTTCATACAACGTAATACATGTTCATGATTCGTGAAAGTCCCTTTCAAAGACAAAATTGTTCAAGTCAAATCACCTGGGACAGTTTTAAATAAATTCCAGTGTTTCGAAATTCCATAACATGTCGATATACGTAGAAACAATTTCTCAACAGACAATTCCGATTTGATTACATTACACATCCTGCATCCGACCATATCCACGTGTGATAAAATGAAGAAACAAAGATAAATATGCCTTTGCGCTTTTTATAAGCTACTTCATAATGACAAATGTTCTAAGCACAGAACAGAGAATAATCTTCACCTCTATTAACCTTAAATCTCTGTTTTGATCGTCTAAATTCCAATTTTGAAGACTTGGTATTTTCTACATAGACAAAAAAAAAATAGTCTTATGTAAAGTTTGAATTACGTTCTAAGAATTCCCGCCAAAATGTTTCCCACTTTTTTTAAACTGTGTTCTCATTTACTTCTTAACTTTCTAAACTATGAAAGTCATTTTCCTCGAATATATAAATATAATTAAGTTTTAAGTGCCTCCTTTTAATCAACAATTTATTAAAATCGTCTCTGTTTAAAAATTAAATAAAAAATGATTTTCTAGAAAGGAATAAAACTAATCGTAAATACAATTACAATAAAGAAATGTCTAATCAATCAATAATAATAGTAAGATATCATCAAAATTGCATTTACAATGAAAATTGAAAATTGTGATAGATTAAAAAAGGGAGAAACGAACATAATTTAACATAAGGTTTCACATGCATTTTGTTGAACTGTGCTGTAATAAAATACTTATCGCAAGTTACTGTAATTGCACGCCTCGTAAGTTATTTGTGTTTGAAACGAATAGTTCTGGCATGGCATGCATTATAGTACATATATTAAAACTTAGCATTCAAGTCCTATGCCCATATTACTCATAAGTCATAACCATTACTCAGTACACAGCTATTGTGCCGCAGCACGGAGTGAGTAACACCGCTATCAGATAAATATGTTTGTTTTATTGTTTTGCAACGCCTGCGGTTGAAGGGCAAACGAACTACAAAATAAAGATCCCATAAAATAATAACTAGTTACGATGTACCTAAATACCCAATGATTTTTATTTTATTTACAGTGCAACTTATCTCTTTCAATCTGTTTGTGATTTTTTTAGTTAATAAAAGAAAAAATAATTAATAAATTCACTATTGTTAATATCTAAATTCTTCAATGAGAATTATTGTATACTTTTGTTAGGTAACTGTTTGTTAATTTAAATAAACAACATAAAATGAAAGTAAATACTTGATAAATATTTAAAGTATAAGATTATTTTACTCACGTAATACTTAGGACACTAATATTTATTAAACGCTTCGTTAAACAACAAACATTAACAACTTTAAAACAACAAGCAGGTTTACATCATTTTGAGAATGAATTTATTGTCATAATACCTACGTTTTAAGATTTTGTCTTTTAAGATTAAAACATAGTTTTTGTACTAATTTTGAATGTCTTTCATATCAAAAATTAGTCCTCAAAATCAATCGCTGGAAAATGTAGTAACCTACTTACTTAAAGACTACAAAATAGTTCAACTATCGAATGAGACACATTTTAAAATGAGATTTACAATAAAATTAATTTCCCAAAACCGGCTCCACATAATAAACCCATATTATTCCTTTAAAAGACACTTATGTTAAGAAAATTAAATTTGCTTTAATTGTATAAGTATGTGGCAGTAATACGTTGTACCAAGTAGGTGTGCCCTTATCAGTGTGATAGGGAATGAGGCCGCAAGTAGCGATTAACCTTACTGTCAGATACCTGTGTTGTGAGTTGCCCATATAAATTAACTACACTATATTTTCCCTACACCTGCTGGCAAAAAATTGCGACTTAGTTCTTTGTAATTCAATTGTTTTTGATATCTGATACTCTGAACTATTTGCAAAGGAAATCGATCTATTTGTCCCATTATCATCATCAATAGTCTCTAACAGTCCACTGTTGGACATAGGCCTCTCCTCAGAAATGAGGTTTTAGCCCAGAGATGGGTTGAAGAAGGATGGAATGGAGAAGGAAAACTTAAAACAAACAACAAAACAAACCCTATACGGGTTTGTTTTAAGTTTTCCTTCTCTTTGCAGTGCTGTTGTCTTTTGTCTTGTTTTTTTATAGTATCTCATCTAGTTTTCACAGTTATACTAATTTTCTATTATTTGTAGGTAGGTATTCTAAATTTGTAAAATACGTTCACAAAACAACGTTAAGAAAAACAAGCATATATTTTTTCATGATCATAGTAATATCATCAATAATAATAAATATATGCGGTTAAATAGTGATTAATAATATTATGATTTGTGAATGTTTATATAGTGGTCAGGTCAACACTGTGTCACCATTGTCTCACCATGAATAAGACATGGGTATTTCATTTCAGTTAGGTTTCCAACGACGAAAAGAAAATAGGTACTACATACTTCAATACCTAATAGCTACTGTAATATATGACATCGTCCCCTAGTCGCTTGTATGTTCTGTTCGTCCTTTTCTCTCTTAGCATTTGTATTTATAAACTGTAACTTCGCCCGCTGTTAGTTTTTTTCAAATTTACCGTCACACCTTTAATGGTCGGAAGATAACTGATACAATTATCAGACGACTGGCAGACATAAATACGGCGTTTCAGTATACTTTGATAAAACGTTAGATATATGAAGGTAAACTCAGACTAACTAAGACTACAATAACCAATACTAGATTTCATCAACCATATCATCAACGTCCCCTGCTAAATATAGGCCTGTTCTAAGGCTTTCCTCGTAACCTGTCTTGTTTCGCTCATCTCCAATTTTTTCTCATCATATTAGACAAAAGAAAAACGATCGAACTTTACAGTAGTCGCATAATTGTGATGTACGTAATATATTCATTGGTTATTGGTCAAGTCAAATAGCGCGTTTGCCCTGTTTCGTGTTACACACCACCGTCCCTTTCCATGTAACTAATAATTCTACAAGTTGCAAGCAAGCGAGAGAAAAAATGTTACACATCAAATATCCTAAGACTTCACCTTCGTCTTCTACAAAGCTTAATTAAACTAGTTCGACATGTTAAGTAAAATCTCATAGTTTGCTATAAAAAACGCAACTTAACGAACGCAAGCGGTGATATCACAACGATAATTACATTAGACTAAGGCGTCGGACTAGCAATCAAATGGTTACGTGTTGGTTACTCCACCTAATATCGGTACTGCCGAACCCAGAACTCATTCCTAACATGATTATTAAGATAGTAATGTGTGATGAATGTTGCTGGTAGTTTTTTTTTAAATAAAACGTAGTAGGCGGGTCTTGGTAGTGTTAAGAAGGCAAAGTAGTCGTTTATTAACAAGAGTATCACTTACGATTTTGAATGTCTTCACGACGATAGTGGCGATTGTTTGAACAGACACCATGATCACTAACACTTATTTCTTTCACTAAATTAACACACTTCTTTTGTCTCTGTGTCCTTTTTCGCCAAACTGTTATTCGTCACTGTAACTATAGTTATCAGTTTGTATGTCTTTATCAGTACATTCGAGCCTCTAATCTTATCTATTCTAGCGAATTACTAGGGCACAAAGCGATTTTCTACAGATATGTGATACTGAATTCTATTGTCTAAGTAATAGGAGTGTTTATGTAATTGTCTATTGTTTTCAGGTAGATTAAAGGCTTTATCATGCTTTTTGGGTTACTATTCTGTGTATTTTAGTTTGAGTCATTCGATCTTGAATCGATTTTATTACACATTATTGCATGAATGAAAATCTCAGGCGTCCAATACGCGGTAGGTTTTTCTGCTGTTACGACATAATTAATATTGAGACTGACGGATAACCTACCATCTAATACGGCAACCGAGAGTTTGATCTTGATATTGATTGTCATTATCTTTGTTTTGATTTTTACGTCGCGCAACCATCATTCGTGATTAGTGAAATTACCTGACGATAGCGTGAGCGTGTAGTGGACGCTCATATTTACGGACGAGAATATAACATAAGCTAGCCTAAAAACATTCAATCCTGTGTTATTTATTCATGATGTTTATAATAATATATCTATAATTATTTAAAAAAATTGAAATTGTCATTTGTCACAGAAAGGAAACATTTCACACACATCACGTCAACTTCCATATAAGAAACTAGAAATAAGTCCTTTTATTCTACAGTTAAATACCAATGATAAAATTATTCATTCAACTGAACTTCGCAGTTAAACTTATCGATTTTAAATTTATGCACACCAATGAGCCAGTGACAGCTGCATTATTTCATTATTAAAGGTTTAAAATATCCAAGTTCGTGAGAACGACCCCTGATGCCTGCAGTTTCTAATGTCTCAAAGAAAACATGAACTAATTTTAATGGTTAGATGATAATAACATATAACATACATTTATTATCACCGTCTCAACAATCATGGATTCCTAAATTATATTTTTATTAAAGGTCAAATCTCGTAACAAAAACTCGTTCAAAATTCAGTTAAGATTCATAAAGGGTATTCTAGTATTAAAGTATTACTAAGACAAGCAGAATATCAAATCAAATTTTGGTCACAATACGATATAATCACATCACACAGTCCACGTTTGACGTTCAATAATTTACACCGAAAATACTTTTTATAACATTTATGAGATCGAGAGTAGATCGGAACAGAATTTTGAACGAGTTTTTATTAAGAGACTTGACCTTCAGGACTTTTCATAACCTTCACTGCTCTCTGATACTGTCTGTTTTGGAAGTCTACGCACTTCAACACCTATCCTCAGTAGTCGTCGGTTTTCTATTGGTGGTCTATTTAATTTCTTATTAATAACTAATTATTTTTGAATAAGCTGATGTAGAGGGAAATTAGTAGGAAATGTATTTATTCATAAAATCAATGTTATTTCGAATGATTTCAACATTTAATCATAAACATTGTACATGCACCAACCATTGCCCAATGTTAATTGTAATAATTAATTGCTTGAATCAACACCATTAACAATCAGCAATGTCTAATCGAAGGTTGAATTGTTAAATCAATGTTCCGAATAACTCTCTAATGGAAAACTATACCAAATTTGACACAAAGACGAGTGTTTTCGAGTCTGTTGCGCAAACGCAAGTATTGGGAACTCAAATATTTCGTAATGTGCTTCCGTACCTGTAAAATGGTTCATGAGACATTGTAACGTACCTGTTATTGTTCATGTTAAGAAATGTTTCAAATATCCCTTTTGTTAGATTTCTAATGGGTAACCAAATAATCTATACAAATAAATAAAATTGGAGTGTCTGTTTGTAATATTAAAATAACCGCTTTTTACTAAATGCATATGTATGTTTACACGGTACATATGCCAAAATAACATATTTTAGAATTTTTGTCTGTCTGTCTGTTTGTTCCGGGTAATCTCTGGAACGGCTGGACCGATTTCGACGGGACTTTCACTGGCAGATAGCTGATGACATAAGGAGTAACTTAGGCTACTTTTTTTAGACTAGCTTCGCCCCGCGGCGTTGCCCGCGGTTATAACAACAAACGCGGGTCTCAGCTAGTATACAAATAAATATGCTAATTACGGATTACATGAAACCGCGTATCCTTATGGAGGAAATAGCAAATGAATAGATGGACTCATCACTTAGGCTAACAGAATAAAAGAAAGGTTTCCTCATTTTACTTATGATAATGTAAGGTATAAAATTATGCCTTCGAATACATGTCTTTTTTCAATCATCACATCATCACATCACATCATCAGCCTATCGCAGTCCACTGCTGGACATAGGCCTCTCCCATTGCACGCCACTTAGATCGATTTTGGGCTTCTCGCATCCAGCGTGAGGGGTGTGAGGGGCGAACCACCATCTTTCGCCCCAAGCCAACCTCACCTGCCCGCGGTGCATCCTGCTGAACGACGAACGAGGCTCTGGCGACCGACCGATGGCGGTATATCCATCCCAATAGGCGTAGCTAAATACAACAGGCCGGTGACGGGCAGCAGCGTTACCGGTGCGACAAGCTACGCCCTGCGATCGCCAACCCGCCTGCCCAGCGTGGCGATTATGGGCAAATCCCTCCCATGCAGACGCAACAAAGGCCACGGCCCCCAGTTCCCGGCGGCCCCGCTATTCCTGGTCATGGTGGCGACCACGGTAAAGGCGGGGCAGGGGGTGCGAAGAATCTCCGGGCTACGGGAGGCCACCACAACCGACTGACCCTGGCTACGTACAACGGACGCACGCTACGGCTAGACTCGCATCTGGCGCAACTTGAGGTGGAACTTGGGAAGATTAGGTGGCATATCCTAGGGCTATGTGAAGTCCGAAGAGAGGGGGAGGACACCATAACCCTCGAGTCAGGCCACCTAATGTACTTCCGCGAGGGAGACCAACAATCCCAAGGTGGGGTTGGGTTTCTGGTAAATAAGTCCCTATCTGACAACGTTGTGGAAATTTCCAGTGTGTCGAACAGGGTAGCGTACCTCATTATCAAGCTCACCGAGAGGTATAGCCTCAAGGTTGTGCAAGTGTACGCACCGACCTCAGCACATTCGGACGACGAGGTGGAGGATATGTACGATGACATATCGAGGGCCCTCCACTTCACAACTAAGACCCACTACAACGTTGTTATGGGTGACTTCAACGCTAAAGTGGGAGTACAGAATTGCGGCGAATCGGTAGTAGGATCCCATGGATTTGGAAGCAGGAATCATAGGGGGCAAATGCTGGTCAACTTCCTCGAACGGGAGGGGCTGTTTTTGATGAATTCTTTCTTCAAGAAACAGCCCCAAAGGAAGTGGACGTGGCAAAGCCCCGACGCTATGACTAGAAATGAGATCGATTTCATCATGACAGATAGAAAGCACATATTCAGAGACGTCTCAGTGATCAATAGGTTTAATACCGGTAGTGACCACCGACTTGTCCGGGGCTCTCTGAATATCAACTTTAAGGCGGAACGTGTCTGTTTGATGAAATCCAGGCTCCGACCAACTCGGCTCCAAGCCATGACAGGATCTGAAACGTTCCAGTCAAAACTGGAAAACCGATTCGCTGCCGTGGAAACCACAATCGACGTAAACCAGAACCTCAAAAATGTGGTTCGGATCCTCAGGGAAGAAGGTATGAGATTCTGTGAAATGCAGCGTAAGGGCAGGAAGTCGAAGCTTTCAGAAAGGACCCTAGGGCTGATGAAGAAACGACGCGAAAACCCACCTGTCACTTTGTCGGCAAAGCGGACTCTAAACCGAGAGATCAGTAAACTCGTACGACACGACCTCCGGTGCTCCAATACTCTTTCAATTGAAAGAGCGATCGAGCAAAATCGGGGGTCAAAAGTGTTCGTACAATCTCTTGGAAGAAGCCACCTGACAAAGTTGACTACAGAAAGTGGAGAAGTCGTTGCTTCGAAGCCGGCAGTCCTTTTGGAAGTGGAAAGCTTCTATGGCCGGTTATACGCTTCGCATGCATCTCGACCTGATCCCGAAAATGAGGACTCTAGAGCCACATTAACACGTCACTACACTGAAGACCTGCCAGAAGTTAGCATTGACGAAATCGAGATGGCTCTTGGACAGCTGAAAAATGGAAAAGCCCCTGGAGAGGATGGCGTTACAACAGAGCTGCTGAAGGCCGGGGGTAAACCCGTACTAAGGGAGCTCCAAAAGCTCTTCAACGCTGTCCTGTTTGAAGGGAGAACTCCAGAAGCGTGGAGTAGGAGTGTGGTCGTCTTGTTCTTCAAAAAGGGTGACAAGACCAGGTTGAAGAACTATCGACCCATATCCCTTCTAAGCCACGTCTACAAGCTGTTTTCGAGAGTCATCACGAACCGTCTTGCGCAAAGACTCGACGAATTCCAACCACCGGAGCAAGCTGGGTTTCGGAGCGGATATGGCACCATAGACCACATCCACACAGTGCGGCAGATTATACAGAAGACCGAAGAATATAATCAGCCCCTGTGTCTAGCATTCGTGGACTATGAGAAAGCCTTTGACTCGATCGAGATCTGGTCTGTTCTGGAGTCCCTGCAGCGTTGCCAAGTAGATTGGCGATACATCCAAGTGATGAGATGTCTCTACGAAGCCGCCACCATGTCCGTCCAAGTACAGAATCAGCAAACAAGGCCCGTACCATTGCATCGAGGAGTGAGACAAGGGGACGTTATTTCCCCGAAATTGTTCACAAATGCAATGGAGGACATGTTCAAGACGCTGCACTGGAAAGGGCGTGGCATCAATATCAATGGCGAATACATCTCTCACTTGCGATTTGCAGATGACATCGTCATCATGGCAGAGACGTTGCAGGACCTACAGCAAATGCTGAATGACTTAGCTGACACTTCTGTACGCATCGGCCTACGGGTGAACTTGGATAAAACCAAGGTCATGTTCAACGAACAT